GAGAGAGAGAGAGAGACAGAGAATCCATGAAGACATTATGGATTAATGGAGGCAATTTTTCCTGAGCGGCTCGTCCCGCGATCCGTACTTGTTTTCTCTCGTATCCGCGGGGCGGTTAAGCAGGACGAGCGATTAAGGTAAAATTAAAATTGCAAGTTTCGAGGAAAACCCCTTAATCTCAAAGTAAAACCAAACTCCGTAAAGACGCCGCTTCGGCGAAGCCCGAATCGCGTCTTATAAATTGACCCGGTTGAATTCCATGAAAATGAACTCAATCTCTCTCTTTCTCTCTCTCTCTCTTTCTCTCCTTCTCTTCTCCACGCTCTTTTCATCCCTCGAGGGAGAAAGCGGGACAGACGCTATACGGCCATTTTACTTTAGATTTACTTTTTTCAAAGGGCGCCCCCACTCTTCGAGAGACGAGCAAGCAGTCATCGACTGCCACGAAGTGGACCGGAATGGCGAAAAGGGGTTGGAAAAGCCGGGGGTGGAGGGATGGCTGAATTGGACGAGGGTGGTTTTTCTGACGTCGACTCACCCTCGACTACAGATCCACCTCCGCCTCATCCCCGTCCCGGCTCTCGAGGGGATGAAAGACGAATAAAATGGCCGATGGCTCGCTTAATACCTAAAATATACACGACAGAAATTAAGCCGCGGCGAAACAGAAATCGCGACGCTCCGTTCCTCGCCGCGGAGACCGAACATTCGCACGCGTTCGCGAGTACAATCCGCTCGCGAATTTTGCGAGACGACGACACCTGATAAAAATACGACGCCCGGTCTTCCGGTCAGCAACAAACGCGACTCTTCAACAAGAGAGCGCGACGTTATGCACTTTGCGCAGAACATTGCCAAGTCCATACCGATAACGCGTCTCTGCGGTCTGGAAGACCGCACGGCGAGCACGGCGGAGAACGCAAACCAAATTTAACATCTTTTCCACGAGCTGACGAAGTTTGCAATCCAGTTTCTACATCGAGTTTCCGATTAGAGGAATCCTACCTCGAGGCCCCGCACCATCGTTTGGTATTATTATCGCTTGATTCTTCGATCGAATCGCCGTCCGCGCAAATTAATATTGCAAGTGTGCGTGTCGCGCACTCTTAATTACTACGAGAGTGACGAGTAAATAGTAACAGTAGCCGCATAGAAAATACTTTGGGATCTAATTGGGACTCAGCCCAATTTTTCGTAATAATCATGCGTTCCAGATAGAAAATTAATGCAGGTTCTGGTTAGAAGCGTAATATTTTAAACATGCGAATCTAAGTGGGAAACCCAAACAAATCCCATTTAGTTTTCCACGTTTGCCCAAAGATTTTTTTTGTTTACATCTTAAACTAAAATTGAGTAAAATATACCAAACAATTTGAGTATTTTGTCGTTACAGATATATATATATATATATATATATATATATATATATATATATATATATACGTATATATTTATAAAGAGTAAGTCCTGAAAATATTTGAGAAAAAGAAACAAAGAAATTGTAATAGAAGACGTTTGAGTTAAGAAAGTAAAAAAAATATATATAAATATCCGACAAATCTTCACAAATATATGAAATCATCAAGTTATTCTCAGATGTACAAATGTATTCTATATTTTATACAAAATAAAAAAGCATTGTTTTACGTTTTAACACGGAACAGTATAAGCTAGAAAAATATTTCTATTGTCTTTATTGCATTAATGAAACTGATGCAAGAAACACTTAAGAATAAAACTCCCAATTAGTATCGTAGTGGGATAATCTATTTTAAGACTAAGTTGGGCATTCTGATTGAAATCTAACCTGCATTTGAGAAAGTACTAGGAAATTTCTATGCGAATGTATTTAACATGAATGAATAAAAATATCAGACGAATTATCCGCGAACACTCCTAATTTCGAATTTTCGGAAATTATATCGCGTCCAGAAATTACGGGTAATTTCAGAAATTACGTTGCGCTCTCATAATATCAAGCTGAAAAATATCGTCCACTTTTTGCCGCGGAATAAGGGCAATTAATGCCCGAGACGTTGGTTATGCAACGGGCGAGGGCGAGACTGCGAGGCGAGAGGGGCGGTTAGAAAATGAATCTCAGTCCTCGGAAGGGATGCTTTTTGTCACTTGAAATATGCCGAAAGAGGGGTGTATTCGTCTGGCGCGGAGGCGAGGAGTGATAAAATGGCGTGCCGCGAACAAAGGGTCTTTCGCGGGATTTTTGTCCCCTTCTTTAACAACGTCGAAGTCAAGTCAGTTCCGGCCGTTCGAGACATTCGACTCGCGTGAGATTGCGTGAATCGCCCTCGCGCATAAAACGTCGCACTGCAAACGTAAGTGTGCTGTTTCGGCTGAATCTCTTTTCGCGCGTCTCTTAAGCTTGATCTACAATGTATTATTTGCTTCCTGTTTCTTTTTCTTTATCTCTTTCTGACTCATACCTTAAGTCTAAAACCTAATCTACAATATACTCTTTGCTTCCTGCTTCTTTCTCCTTATCTCTTTCTGACTCAAACCTTAAGCTTTAAGCCAAAAAAAGATAGAAGACAAGAAACAGAACGCAAAGAGCATATTGTAGATCAGGCTTTAAATTAAAAAAAGACAGAGAACAAGAAACAGGAAGCAAATTCACATACAAAGAGCACATTGTAGATTAGGCTTTACCGTCTCAAGAGTCACGTCATTTGACACGTCTCAAGTTGCATCTCAAACGCCTTAAACGTGTCAAATGACACATGATTGAAAACCGCAAGAAACTTGCAGAAAGAGCTTCAGCCAAATTGCACGCGATTAAACGTAACACATTTGAATTTGCAGCGCGCTCAGTATACACGCTCGGGATAACGCAAGTTCCGTCGCCGACTCGCAACATCTTCGAGCTCGCTACGTCGGAGAAATTACACCCGGCGTGTAATCGAAGGGGGTGGTTTTCAGGCTCGAGGGACGATAACCAATCGATAACCGCGCGAAAAGAAAGGAAAACAAGGGAGAAAGAAAGAACAGCCGAACGAAGCACCGATATCCTCTCTTTCTTTCTCGTTTCCTTTTTCATTTAACGCCGAGAGTTCTATATTGGAGTTCTTACGAATAAATTATTGCTGGCATCTCGCGAATACTCCGAGGTATGCCGGTTCTCTCCTTCAGCCGGCGAAAATCTTTCGCGGCACGAAGAAGGAACAAAAGAACGTAGCGCCGGATGATTTGCCGGATCGTGAGGGTGTACGACCACCGAAACAAGGAGGCGGTCGGGGGCGCAGGGGCAATGGGAAAGATACGCGCAAAGGGGGTTGCCGAAGGAACCAGAGAGATGGGAGAGCGAGCGCGGCGGTGGCAGGGTCGGCAGTCTTTGGAGGGGTTGTATTTTAAGATTCACCCTCGGCTATCTCGCCCGCGTCCTATCGGGAAGGGGATGGATTTTTCCACGATTCGTTCCCCGAGAGAGCGTAAGAGAGACAGCATGCCGGGACAAAAATCGTTTATTCGCCGCATACGTCGGCCTTGAATGGGAATTACATGGAAAAAAAAAATGGTTGTCAACCAAAAAAATAGTAAAATATGGCATAGCTTTTCTTCCTGGCTTCAAGAATCAATTCTTAGTTGCGCTGATCTACCGATTTGTTGCCTCAAAAATATTAATGATCGAAAATTTTTACGAAGTCAATAAGAATTGATCGTAGCAGTAATTCTTTTTTTTCAGTGCGGTAAGATGAAAATGCTGATTCCCAAACACATGCCTAATCCTAGACATCCTTGTCTCGGTCTTGAAATATTTAATTTTCTTTGATTTTTAAGTCGCGACAAAAATAAGTCGAGATAAATTTTTTATTGTGTAAGCACTGGATTGTATAATAAGTTTGAATTCTTATTTGCATAATAACTTTGAATTCTTCAGGTAAAATAAAACATATCCCGGAGTAAACGAAGTATATTCTGAATTTTTTCATCGTATTGGGTAATAAGTGATTTTTCGGATTTTTCAGGAAAACGAAAACAAATCGAAAATATCAAGAACTTCTTTTTACCGTGTAAGTACTGGGTTATACGAGAAGTGATTTCAGATAAAATGAAGCCGTTATATTTTTATGTTGTTGCAATTTCGGGAAGCAGGGTCGAAGGAAGCAGAAGATCGAAACGACGCATATAATCTTTCATAAAATGGTGGTGAGACATAGAGATACGGTCGTTTCATTTTGCATAAAGAAGCCGAAATTACTTAGTGCACAGTCCGCAACGCTGCTGCCGATTAATTATCTGTCGCGCGAGATCTCGAATAAATCTGCGAACGTGCATCGAAGCATAGCCGAAGTTCGGGACTAGTGAAGTTGGATTCTGTTCCTCGCGACGTTTCAGGCGACGCTTCGAGCACGCTGATCAACGCGTTACTTTTTTCACGGTTGCCAGGTACACGTTTAGGTAGGCGGTGCGCAAAAGCTTTCTTACTCCGCGCGGAGGCACTAGTCAAACATCACGCGCGCTGCTTCCCCTCGCCCCGTCCCGTCCCGTCCCGTCTCGCTTCTCTCCTCCGAGATGCTTCGACTTACAAGTATCCTCGACTTGAAGGCACTTTGCACCGACTTGAAAACGACACGAGGGTCGTCCAAGGGACTCGCTCGCCGACAAACTTTGAGCGTTGTTCGCTGCGAGCAACACATGCCGCGACACTTGAGGCTCGAAAACGCGTCGAAGAAACAATGTCGTCGTGCGGCTTTTAACGGCGTTTTTCATAGCAACTGACCGAACACTTTCCGACCCGATGACCGATTAACGAGATCACCTGCTATCGCGCTTAAAACATGAAAAGCGTTCGACGTAGCCATCGTCTTTGTAGATATGCGAAATACGTGTGTTTTTTTAGCACGGAAGAGTATATTTTTATAATTAAGTAACATTAATTATCTCTGACTCTATGTGGGCGTAATGAAACAGACATCTTTTCAGATACAAAGTCTTGCTAATTTTATTAGTTAGAATTATTAGATAGATTTTTGTAATTACTGTTTCTGATATACAGTCAAGAGGGAGATATTGCTTAATTTTCATTTTAATATTTTCTCCCAATAGACTTAAAATAGAATGTCCACTTTAACAGCGGAAAAAGACTCATAGGCTACTTCCATGTGTATCTCTTTTCATCTATCGTCTCTTTCCACCAATTTTCGCTGTCACGTCGCTCGCATTTCCAATCTAATAATGCATACATTTTCATCCCGCTCGCGACCCGAGATTGCGAGCGAGGCAATTACAAAGTATCAACCGCGTAATTTTTTATTCTCTCGAGAGATCCTCGATCGTGTTGTACAGATTACAGGCGGGGGATGTGTGTGTAGTTTGCACCACGTATAATTCTCGTTCCTTGGTGCATAATTCGCGAGTTCCTCGCCTCGTGGTTGTAGCCACGAGAGGATCTGTCCGCACGAGCGGTATACCGAAGTCCTGAAGAAGAACACTTTCGTATTTTTATTGATTTGCCCGGTGAGGGGTAGTTAAGGGGCGCCAACCGCCGGTCTTACCCCCACTCGGATTGCAGTACCCGCACCCCTGCCGCCCCTTCAGCCGAGAGGGGTCGAGAGGATAGCGAGCGTGAGAAAGAGAAAGAGAGAGAAAGAGGGAAAGAGACTCTCCTTACTCCCTTCTTCTTTTCCTTTCGGCTTCCCCACTGCTGTGCGCGGTGGACTCTTTCTTTCTCTCTTTCTCGCTCTCTCCCCCTCTCTCTCTCTCTCTCTCTCTCTCTCTCCACTCCTGGCTTTTCCGACGGACGCCGTTGAAGAAAAGTACCCACGAAAAAGAAGGAGCGCACGTCCCTACCCTCGCGTCACCCTCTGGCCTTTTATTCGGCGAGCGAGCGAAAAGATTTCGAGGTCCACGGAGGCCGCGCGAGCAAACTCGGCGCGCAGAAAGTGAAAAGTTTTCTTTCATCTCGCTGCGGCAGATCGCGACGGGTGGGAGGGTGGGGGGAGGGGGAGAGGGAGAATGGGGGACCGCCTTTAGCGAGAGGGGGTTAAACGCGGAAAAAGTTTCAGCCGAGATTTCATTTGCGACGGGGGTGCAATCTGCCCGGCCGGTAATCCCCGTCTTTGTTCTAATGGAATGGGATTCGTCGTCCGCTGTGCTCGGCAATGGCCATACTGCTTTTTCTTTTAACGGCCCTGGCAATAAAGTAATAAAATTTCCGTGGCCGTGCTACTTCCCGTTCGGACCGGTTGGCTCTGTCGCTCGCAGGATCTGTCGGCAGGAACGGCCGTACCTTTTATGCGACTTTAACGGCATCGTGGCATCGCCTGAGTGCGTCTTCGAGTTTCTAATTAATCGACGCGGAATGAAGTTGACCGGCCGATCAGATGCGTAGGCTGCGCGTCGCGCCCGATGGAGTT